TAACTAGCTTCGAGAGATGATTCTTGAAGTTCCGATGAGAATTCATGACCAGTGGGATAAACCGAGTGAATGTGAGGATGATCGCGCTATACAGTGAACTGGCAGAAGTGCTAAGTATGGACCATTGAATTCCGCAGAGCCAGTGACTCAATGGTAACGTGTTGCCTACGGAAACTGTAGGTTGTTGGTTCAGCTTTTGAGAGTGGGGTCATGGGTGGACACTACTGAGGAGTTCTATACTAGGACGAAATAGTTGTCCAGTACCCTTAAGTTTCCAGCGTTCCTCCAACTGATGTCAGCCCATGATGAATACTAACTTGCAATCGAAATCAAATAAGAATTAGGAAGGGGCTAAATGTAAGAATCATATGGCCAGATCCAGGTTGGTGAATGGGACCGTTCAAACTATTTCTGTACACATAGTTCTTGTTTGAACATTATATATCGAATTTGACCTTGGAGTCAACTGCATGTTGCTCATCCATGCCATTCACTGCGAAGTGCTCTCCAAGGTGATGGGAAATGTTTCTTGATGAACATCCTATGTACTTAACTCCTCAAGAATAGATGAACATATGGATTCACATTGAAATGAACAGATGAAGTAACACTGCCTTGTCAATAAGATGAACCAAACGTCAGTTGGAATAGGATTACTTTTAGAGAGATGATTTTGAAATGGTGGGGGAATATTTGTAGCTCAGGTGGATGGTCTTGGTTGTATTGTGTTCTCTAACATGAGATGTTTAGTCGTGGAGCCACAATCGTCTTTCTAGACGACATCATCGTCACTAACTTCAGTATGAAGTGGGCTGTCAATGTCTCTTCGTGAGTTAACACCAATTGCCTATTAAACGTCACACACTACATTTTACCACTCATTTCCATCCATATGGATAAAAACTATGGAGATGAATTCAGTGTTGACAATATAGAAATTTTGAATGGAAAGAGGAAACACAAAGAATATCAGAGAGTTCCTAGAAGCCTGGCATTCAGGTCTGTCATTCAGAAGTCAATAGAGAGACGTGTAGACGTAGATCCAATCTATCAACCAATGAGTAAAATGATAACACAAGTTGGAAATATATACGATTGAATTCTAACTCAGTGACTAGATAGTAACGTGCTGGCCACGGAACCTGAAGGGGTCCGATCCTTGGGGGGCGGGGTCCTGGGTGCGCACTGCTGAGAAGTCCCATACTAGTCGGACGAAACAGTTGACTGTCCAGTGCTCCCAGGTTTCCTTTGTTCCCCTAGCTGATGTCAGTCTACGATGAATAACAACTTGAAAAATGATCAATGACAGAAAGGTGAGAGATGAAGCAAAGAAACAGCTAAGGAGAAAATCTATACAGTCTGTCAATAATGACACAACAATCAAAGGAAAGAACCAATCACAAACTAGTTGGTCAGGGCAAGCTACTGAGTCAGCCATAAAGAGATATTGACAGGTCACTTCATATTGAAGTTAGTGGTGATGATATTGTGTAGGTAGACGATGACAGCGTCTCGACGATTAAACGATTCAACTGAGAGAACACAATACAACCAAGAGAAAGAGAGAGAGATGATTTTTAAATAATTCATCTACAATATCCTCTCTAACTTCTAAACTAATACAGATCTTTAATTAATGTCTACTATATTACTTACTTTATGCTGGTGACTTTTTCAAATTAGCACAATACGATGATTCAATCATTTATGACTGTTGTGTCATATTATAATAAAACGCAAACCGATTTTCGTGATGCAAACAAAGCTCGTATCAAACGTCAATTGGAGATAGGTAGGCTTAATTAGAATGAAGTCGATACCTTTCTCTTTTCTTTGCTTTTTTATCTGTTGTTTTCATTATTATTATTGTTTCCACTATATATACATATATATACAAGTATTGGATGAATGCAATGGGGGTGTAGAGCAGTCAGTAGTATTTCGCTTGAACTAACAATATTTGACTGATGAAGATTGTGGGGGGGGGTCAGGGCTTCTTTATTTGTTGTTGTTGTTGTGTTAATATTGGTGGGGTCTTTTTTTGTTAACTTCAAGGTGTGTAACTAACCCTTATTTTTTTTGTTTGCCTAATTTTGGGCATCACCATGTACACTTTTTAGCTGTCTAATCATGTTTGTCTAGTTCCATTCTTGCTTGCTTTAAACTTTCTGTCTGTCTATCTGTGGCTGTCTCTGCTTATGTGTGTGTGTGTGTGTGTCTGTGTTGAAAGTGATGTCGAAGAGTCTTTCTGAAATATTGAGCGCATCTGAAAGAATTTCATATATTATGGGCTTAGATAACTGGAGCTAGAAATCTACAAAGCCATAGAATGTTCGACAACATCGGGATATTTTACTGTACCTGTCTGCTAGTAGTTAGCATCATTATTCTGTTATGTTGATCTTAGTGACTATCAGAGAAATCCATGACGCACGTTTCGTCCTGTTTGGGACTCGTCGACCGGATGTATCTGCATTCCAGTGATTGATGTTGTTCCTACCCAATACCTTTCACTTCAAACACAAGAGCGTTATCCATGAAGCAATTGGGGCATCCGTATAGGAGCTTATCTACAAACGCAGGTCGAGCAATTTGGCTCTGGATAGCTATGGGAAATTAAGAGTATCATAACAGTAACTGATATCCGTTGGACAAGTGGTGGCTATCTTACCGTAGTGCCTTAGAGGATAACGCTCTGGAGTTTGAAGCGAAGAGCACTGGGTTTGAGCCTTAATGGGAACAACATCACTCACTTGCGTGCAGGTACATCCACGTGACGAGTGCTGAATAGGATGAGACGCGCATCCTGGATTCCCCTGCTAGGCACCAAGATCAATATAACATCATGAGTAATCATTAGCATTGTGGCACCCCCGTACGATCCCATTTACCAATGGAGGTCAAGCAATTTGGCTCTGCATAGCAATGGGGAATAACAAGTATCATAACAACCATCATTCTTTATACTGAGTGATGATTGGAGGGGAAATGAAAATTCGGACCGCCACCGGATTCGAACCAGTGGCCACTGGGTTACCGGCCCGTTGCTGCATCAACTGAGCTTCGAGGTCGGAATGCTGACGAGATTTTTATTTCACTTCAGTCAGATGATTGAAGTGAAGTCAAAACCTGGTCAGCAGTTCGATCCCGTAGCTCAGTTGGTAGAGCATCGAGCCGGTAACCCAGTGGTCACTGCTTCGAATCCGGCCGCGGTCCAGATTTTCATCTTCAGTCATCACCCAGTAACAATACTAGTCTGCCAAACTACGGCTATCTCAGATAGAATGATAACCATTATTATGTTTTTTTTCTAAACCTAACCAGAAATGTATGTTCTTGTTGTTAATAAGTTAACTTGTAAGCTGACAGGACTTATCGCGTTGATTAGCATTCCTCAACATTGATTGATTAGACTGATGTTATGCTTACTCTCATGATAGTCGTTCTATGGCGTCGGCGAGATATCTGACTATCTATCAAAGGACGAGTATACAACGCTGCAGTCCTTTCTGTATTTCTATATGGCTATGAAACATGTCCTTTTTAAACACGGAAGATATGAAGTGGGTAGGATTGTTCAAGTTTGGTGAAATCAATATGTGAGCAGTGTTGAAGTCAAATGATGGGTACCAGATAAAATAGGCATATCAGTCGATCAGTTTAAAGACCTTCAGTGACTGAGTTGATGTGGACATTTACTGCACATATAGATCCACTGCCTACCTCGATGTCTCATACCACCGAAACTTTAATTAGGTTGGAAGACGGTACATGGTGGCCAGACCCAGCACCGATATTAGTCGGAGAAGTCCCTGACTGGTTGATGTGAGTCATGTGGGGAGATATAGACTCTCTGATTGTTGGGGTTCACTGAGACAAAGGGAACTAGTGGTAAATGACTCTTGGTAACATGACTGAAAATCGGTGACAATGGCGCAAATATATATTTGCATTAACCGTTATTTTCAGATTACTTATTCTCTCACATTACTTTGTCTACTCCTTTATATCACTCTCCTTCTGTCTTCTTGTTCTTTGTATTCTACTATGAAGTTTGGAAGCTTGGTGTAGTGCACCTTTTTTCTGAGGTTCTAAGTCGATTTAGACTGTCTGTCTGTGTCAGCGTGGTGTTTCAGCTTTTGCAGATGAATAAGAACAATCTCCTTCAGTTTATACTGTTGAAGGCGATTGTTCAGTAATTAGTATAATTGTTTTTATATCATACCGTCGTTGATTGGACCGAATTGATCGGTCTGTATTGACATATAGGCTCCTGTACGGATGCCACGATATTTACAGTGTTTTAATTATATTAATGATGGATCATGGCTAGCAGTGGAATCCAGGATGCCCATTTCGTCCTATTTGGGAATCGTCAGCTGGATGTACTTGCTTCCCAGTGTAGAGTGATGTTGTTCCCATTCACTCACTCATTCACTGGAAAGCAGGTACATCCAGCTGACGAGTCCCGAATAGGACGAAATGGGCATCCTGGATTCCACTGCTAGCCATGATACATCATTCAGATTGTTCAGTAAGTCTGTAGTTCTAGTTATTCTTATGCTTCTGAACTAACTTTTTCTCTTATCACTTATGCCTCAATTTATTGCTAATTGAATATTTTTCTGTTGCGTAATGTGTATGTGTTTAACTGAAGTTATCAATTTTTGGGTGCATGAAAAGTGATACTAAAGCAGTTTACTACTAAAATATCTATTAATAAGTAGTATAACCAAGAGACATCTTGATCCTTGATAATTTTTCTAATTGTATACCTTCAATAACTGATGAACATCTTTTTCGCATATATATATATATATATATATATATATATATTCCTCTCGGTGACAGAAGTATTTCTTCACAGCGTCTTCATCTTAATGTTTGACAACTTTTTTTGTTGTGTATGTTTGTGTGTGTATCTGGTTTCTTTTATTGTTTTTCTCACTTTGTTGGTGTATTGTTTATCCTGTAAATTTTTCCTTTTATGTTTTATTCAGTTTCTCGCCTTATCTCAAAGTATGGCTAATACTATGCATCAGTATGGTCTTATACAGATTGAACATAAAGAACGTTGTAAAGCTTTATTGAAACGACAATTAGAAGTTGGTGAGCATGTATTATTTTAACTTATGCGTACATAATGATACACACTAAATAGGGATAATTTTCTCCCTTTTTTTTTATATATCTTGATGTTAAGGGGATGTTGTTAGTACCATTCTCTTGGTAATAGTCTATTTTCGTGCAACGAATACCCTACGTTCTTGAGGTGATGAAGTGAATAGTAATAATAATATTATTGATTATTACTTGACCCTTGAGTTCCTAATGGAACATAGGGCTTCAGTAGCATGTGTCCAGTGGACTGTGTTCTCTGAAATCTTTTGAACCTTGCTCCACGACAGCCCAGAAGCTCTCATTTCCTCCTCACACCTTCTCCTTCTCCATGTCACCGTCAGTTGGGACGCACAACTCGTCGCTTCCCATATGGCTTCCATTTAAGGGCCTGATGCGTGATATCCCCAAACGGCCTTCTCAGTGTATGCCCAATCCATCTCCATTTCCTTCCACCGCATATTTGTTTAGCGATAGTTTGTTGGTCGGTTCGTTGCCAGACTTCTTTGTTGCTTATTCTTTCTGGTCATCTGATCTTCTGTAAGGAGCCAGTGTAGACAGTTGTTGATGAATATCTGTAGTTTGTTAGAAATTCCTTTCGTGATGCGCCAAGTCTCTGAGCCATACCGAAGCACTGACTTGACTTGATGTTGGTGTTAAAAATTCGGATGTTGTTCCACATGCTGAGTGCAGAATATAGTAATTATGATAGCGCGACTGAAACTGACGTAATGAGATACTTGAACTAGGTGCCAATAGCGAACTGATTACTTCGGTGAGTCATGAAAATGTCAGACCAGGCATTACTGCGTAGCGGTTCAAGTTCCTACACATCATATCAAGTAACAAGGCAATGAAATAGAATTTTTACGGAGTTGTGGGGATTTGGAAATATTTCAAGTTGTTATTCATTGTAGACTGACATCAGTTGGAGGTTGCAGTTGCACTATATCGTGAGCTAACAGAAGTTGGAAATATGGACGATTGAATTCCAACCCAGTGGCTCAATGGGAAGGTGCTGGCCATGGGATATAAAGGTCGCGGGTCCGATCCTTGGAGGTCGGGGTCGTGGGTGCGCACTCCTGAGGAATACCATACTAGTCGGACGAAACAGTTGGCTGTCCAGTGCTCCCAGGTTCCCTTTGTCCCCCTAACTGATATCAGTCTAAGATAAATAACAACTTGAAATAAAGTAGAAGATAAAGAAGGAAAGGGAAATCGGTCAAGAGAAGTAGAAAGTAGTAAAAGGGAAGGAAGGAAGAAGGAGAAGATGATGAGATGAAGTATAGTAGTCAAGATGAGATTAACGTCTACATACATCTACACTACTGAATTCGGTTCTCATCCATATCACTTAGAGTCTTCAACCACTGGTTATTCTTGTCCCGTACACCCTAACCGGCTAGTCTGCATCACTATCCATTCCTGAAACGAATAGTCAAAGACTTCTCCAGGTTTGAACTACTTCGGCAGACGGTGGCTAGGCATACACATAACCTATGTGCCAGCCAATGAACTGAGTCGGTGAAGGTTCACAATCTTATCAACTGTCTTACCTCTCCTCCCTGAAACTCTATGTCTGACTTCTGCATCGCTGACGTGCCGATATCACTGTACACGGCCTATGCTATGGAGGAAACGGTGTTGAAACACGTCTCCATTCCACTCTCTTCTCTGCATTCTTTTCAAGCTGCCTCCACGACTGCCCACAAGCTTTCATTTCTTCCTCATATCATCTCTTCCATGTCACCCTCAGCAGTCGGGACGCCCTACTTGTCGTTTCCCCTTTGGATTCCACTCGACGACCTGGCCTGGCCTGGCTTGGTGTGTGATGTCCCCAATCAGCCTTCTCAGTGTATGCCCAATCCATCTCCACTCTCTTCTTCTGCATATTTGTTGAGTGATAGGTTGTTGTCTGGTTCGTTGCCAGACTTCCTTGTTGCTTATTCTTTCTGGCTATCTGAGCCAGCGTAGACAGTTGTTGATGGAATATCTGTAGTGTATTGGAAATTCCTTTCGTGATGCGAAAAACTTCTGAACCATCACATAGAAGCACTGACTTGACTTGATGTTGGTGTTCAAAATGCGGATCTTGTTCCATCTGCTGAGTGTAGAAGATCTCCATACTGGTTTCAGATTAATGAAAGCCTGTCTTGCTGTCTTTCCGACCCTGGATGTTGTGACGTCCTCAACTGTGCCACCTGTAGTTGAAACGATGCTGCCTAGATAGATGAGAGAGGCTACTTCCTTTAAGTTCCTCTTGATGATGGTGATTGGAGCTTATTGTTGTTGGTGGTAGTGGTGGTGGCGTTGGTTGGATATCAACATCACCTCTGTCTTCTCTATATTCACTTGAAGTCCCGTCTTCCTTGGCTGCCCTGCCTTGCCTCTTCTGTCAACTTGTTTATTTTTGTGTGTAGATCTTCAAGTTTGTGTGACACACTACTAATAATCACCTAATATAATATAACACCTTTATATGCCAATGGATACACAAATTGGTGATTATAAATTGCTATTGTCTTCTGATGGTGTGAAGTTGTTTCATATAGCATACTTTTTTGTAACGTAATATCTAACTATTTGGTGGTTTTATTCAGTGTTTTCCGATTAAATAAAAATTAATTTGTTTGTTACATTTTATTTCTAGTGAATTTTTCTTCCGCCCCCCCCCCTCCTTTTTATTTTGACTGTTTACTTCTTAGAAATTTATATTTCATGATATACGGTTGTATTTTAGCTTCATATTATGCAATATACCTCAGAAGCACTACGAAGAATTGTCAATAATCCTGGTTGGGATTCAAGTGGTATTCAAATCAACAAACTCACTTAGAAACAAGTTTTGTAGGTTAAAAAGATTCTATCGATGCAATTAAGCAAAATGATCTGGTTTACTAGATCCCTTACAATGATTGCGATGTCATGTACATAGGTCGAATCAGTCGACTAGCCAGAGTCGATTAGAATAACAGAGCACAAAAACTTAACTAAATAAAGATTAGTAGATCCTAATAAGATAACAAATTTAGAGAGTGGCTCGGCTTGGGTAGAGAGAGGGAGAGCCTGATAACCGACTGAATCTTTGTTTATCGAATTAACACCAAATACATGCGAGAATCGAAATGGTTCTGCATCTGTCCCAGATATATAGAGAATTCTGCTATCCCTGTCATCAGAGACAAGGAGAGGAAACTAGGAATATATAAATAGATTGTCTCGAAGTTGTGGAGTTACCTGATATGAATATGGACAGTAAAATGTGTCCGAAACGTGGTTATCCAGTAAAATGGGATTACAATCAACCACAATGCCCACGTTTTACACTTATATTATGCAATATACCTGTAAAGTAGACTGTATATAACAGCTGAATAGCTGATGCTTTCATAATTCGATGATTTTATATTTTCGTGCATGGAAGAAGTAGCACCATCAATCTGTATGCGTTGTTACTTTCTAGAACATAAGTTAAAGAGCAATTAAAGTATAAGAACATTCACAGAATAAACTGCCATATTGAAGCGTTATTTTCAATTATCATGACGAGTTTGTTTATGAATGAGAAGATATTTTACTTTCCAGTTACCCACAGTGGCCATTGAAAGTGGAGGATACAAAAAGGCTTCAGGTGTTTGACCACCGTTGCCCTCGTAGTATACGACGTATTCCGTGGTGTCACCATGTGAGTAATGCAGAAGTTAGGTGTAGAGTTTTGAGGAGAAGAGGTAAGTCAGTTGACGAGGTTGTGAACCTTCATCGACTGAGATGGTTGGGACACGTATTACGTATGCCTATTCACCGATTACCTCGTCACACAATGTTGGCTGAGGTGGGTCCAGGCTGGAAAAAGGCCTGAGGTGGCCAGACTAAAACATGGTACCAATGTATGAAGTCCCTGACTGTTGGTTTAAGCCATGTGGGGCGATGCAGACTAGGTGGTTGGGGTCCACGGGACAAGAGGAACCAGTGGTTGGAGACCCTAGGTGATATGGCTCAGAACCGAAGTCAGTGGCGCAGATGTATCCCCACACACATTATCCTCATCTTAACAACGCTATTCCGAATCTCACCATTCTGTCACTCCTCTTTCCTTTCTTCTCGTACTTTATATTTCTTTTGACTGCATTCACTTATCTTCATCCTTCACCTTACTATCTTTTTACTTGATGTGCTGATATGAGGTGTGGCAACTCGGACGGTTACGCAGTAATGCCTGGTCCTATGTTGATAATGATGATGATGAGTTACCCACAGTATGGAAGTTATAGCCTTCTTCTATTACTTGGAAGAGAATTTAGTAGATTAGTCTTGTATAACCAACTAGTCTAAGTGATTTTTCTGCAAGGGAACTAATATTCCAACTGAGACAGGAACTCATATCACCCAGTATTGAAGTCGGTGACATTACTTGCGTACTTAAGAAAGATTTACCACCAAACGATTTAAAACTCAGTGACATTGACAGAGTGTGGAGTTTGTAGACTCGCTAACTTCTAATCATCTTTCATTTGAATAGGAATGATTGAGTGTCCTAGTACTGATCATCAAAGGAAAAGATCTTATGAGATGATGGAGAATATTTATTGCTCAAAAGGATAATTTCGATGGTGTTGTGTTGTCTCACCTAAAAGACTTACCGTGGAGCTTTTTTTGTCATTATAGACATTATAATCATCATCACAAACTTCAGAAAGAAGTGACTTGAAGGGTGGCTTTCTTCACAATTTATTTGGTAGCTTGACCTTATGGCATTGTATGTGATTAGTTGTTTCTGCTAAGGTCTTGACCATCGTCTCTACATTTCTTTCGATTGGGTGTCCTGCTAACATAGAAATGTGACCTTATTGGTTGATAGATTGGATCAATGTCAATATATCTGTTGATTACTGACTCACTTGAATACCAAACTTTTGAAAATGCTCTGTCATTCTTTGTATCGCCTGTATCCATTCAGAATTTCAACATTTTCCCAGTCAAATTTATGTCCACAGTTGTCTGTATGCATTGATATGAGCGAAGATATGTCATGATGTTTGATGTAGACGGATACGAAGAGGGCGGGTGACTACTCTGTCCGATGTAATGACTGTTTTCCAAAAGAATGACTATCCACACAACCTTATCAAAAGATCTGTACAATAGCAAAGGAAAACAAACCAAATATTATCTACAAAATAAACTGGGGAAAGTGGGGAAAACACCACATCCAATAGAGTGGTCACCCGCTCTTGTAGCATGCGTCTACACTAACATCAATTAACAGTGAAGTGTCATGACATATCTTCATTCATATCGATGCATACGGCCAACTGTGGACATGAATTTGACTGGGAAAATGTGAAACTTCTGGATAGATAGATGCAGTACAAAGACTGCCAGAGAACCTTTAGAAGCTTGACTCTCAGGTCAGTTAGCAATCAACAGATATATTGATTATCTATCAACCAATACGGAAACAACAAGCAGGTCATATTCTTACGTTAGCAGGACACCCAGTGGAAATAAATGTGGAGACAGTGTCAAGATCTTGTCAGAAACAAGTAATCACATACAAGGCTATCAGGGAGGGCTAGTAAATAAATTGTGAAGAAAACCTTATAGCCTACTTCTTTCAGAAGTTTGTCATGATGATTTAGTCTGTAAAGGCAATAAACACAACACCATTAGAAGACAACATCTTATTGTCAACTCACTCCTCTCCACGAAGTAGTAAAACCTCGATCTCAGATTCTGTTACACCGTAATCTTGTCATACTATGAAGATAACTATATCTAGTCTTGTCACTGTTCAACAAACGTTTCTAGTACGATTAGAAATTCAAGCGAAATTCATTCCTACTAATATAGCTCGTTAGATCTTCGCGATATGGAAACTAGACTACCAGTTCGGTTCAGATCATCTTATGAAAATGGAGGGTTATAAATGGGAAAACATAGCTATGGAAATTTGCAAAAACACACTAGGCAGAGAGAAAAATCGTTGAAACATATTTCCCATACTGATATAACAATTAAGATAAACATTAGTTCTATGAAAAGTTTGCCCATTGTGAAATGAACCAATGTATTATAAATTTATATAAGTGGATGGATGGTTACTGTGCTGTGCAGATCAACTTACAACGCTGCACTACATATCGTGATAGAACACAGCGCAGAATGGCAGTCAACGCTTTACCTCAACTTCATTGATTTTGAAAAGAATTTCGATAGCGTCGACCGAGAATTAATTTGGCAGGCAGCTGCTTCAACACTACGCCTTTCGTGCTACAAACCTTTATCAACCTCATTCAACAGCTGGTATATGCTATATGACGTTGCCACATGCCAAGTGATTCACAATGGGACGCTCAGTGATGCCTTTGAAGTGAAAACAGGAGACAGGGGTAAGACAGGGTTGCCTACTATCATCACTGATGATCTTCCTGATTATGGTCGACTGGATCATGCAAGAAACTGTGAAGAGCGACAGGGGCACTGTCTGACCGATGAAGAGACCCCAGAAGAAGACTTGAATTTCGCCAGTGATGATTTATGTCCAATGTCTTGTTGCACAACCCCGAAGATCTACAGGTGAAAACTAACAAGTTGGCAAAAGAGGCAGGGCAGAGAAGGAAGACGGGTCTTCCTTCAGGTGAAGGTACAGAATACAGATGTGATGAAGATAACCGACCAACCAACAACAACAACGAGCACCAATCACCGTGAACGGGAGAAACCTAAAGCAAGTTGTCTCTTTCACCTACTTACCTACCTACCTGCCTACCTAAGCAGCATCATCTCAACTACAAGTGGTGGCACACATGACGATGTCACAGAAGCCAGGATTGGAAAGACAGCAAGACACACTCTCCTTCATCAATCTGAAATAATCAATGTGGAGATCTACTTCACCCCACTGCACTCTACTCAGTATAAAACGTCAACAACATCCGGATTTTCAACACTAATGTAAGGCACATCGGTCAGTGTTTCTGTGTGATGGTTGTGAGAGTTGGCGCGTCCCGAAAAGCATTTCCAACAAACTACAGACATACATCACATGAACAGCTGCCGGCTACCTTCGAGCACTCGATACTGGAAGTGGAGATCAGATGACCAGAATGATAAGAATAAACAACAAGGAATTTTATTCTGGTAACGAAGCAAGAAGCTATTGCCCAACGAATATGTATAAGAAGAGAGTGTAGATGGATTGTATTGTATTGGGAATAGACTGAGAATAGAGTTTGTGGACATCACGTGGCAGGTCAGGCCAGGCTAAGCCATCGAGTGGAACCCAAATCGGAAAAGAAGGTGAAATTGCGATATGCTACTGAAGCTTTATGTCCCACTAGGAACCCCAAGGGAGTTTCAATGGGTATCAGACTACTGATTGTTGTTGATTATCCAACTTGAATTTCATGTGTAAGTATGTGTAAGTAAGTAAACATGCACCTTCGAATATTACCGCAGTGAAACACTTGAACTGGTCACGAACAGTGATTGTTCTCTGTAAGTATCTTCTACTTCAGTGAGCCATGAAGATATGACGAGCCAAAGATCTATCTGTGGACTGTAAGCTAATCTCTTTATTCGACAAAAAGATACATCATTTATATACAATTTTTATGAGCATATAAAACTAATAGGTCGAAAGTTAAATAACTTATTCTGATTGGTCCACTGCAGAACTAAATTGTCCAATCAGATTTATCTTGACCACACATTGATATGAAGCAAAAGTTCCAGTCTAAAACTTATATATTTGAGGTTGATGACTTAAAATGTTGATTTCCACTTAGATCACTTTCTATCACGTATATTTCATTGAAGTTGTTTTGAGTATCTGAGTGAGATAACCATAGTTCGACGGACTAGTATTGATGCTGGTTGATAATTGATGGTGAAATGAAAATATACGCCACGGCCGGATTCGAACCAGCGATCACTGGTTTTCCGTCCCGATGCTCTACCTATTCAGCTACGAGGTCCGTCTGCCGATCAGATTTTCATATAACTGTAACCAATCATCAAGGGTTTTGACCGACTACCATGTGAATTCATGACGTGTTACTACCGCTTGATCATATTGACACTGCCTGTCTATTCAGGACTTCTCATCCTATTCGAAATCTAACTGAATTGGATTAAGAGAGGTAACATCATATTGATTATCAATTGACTATCTGAGATTGACGTGGTTTGGGAGATTAGCACTGATGCTAGGTGGTTGAAGTGAAATGAAATCCTGATCAGTATTCAGGTCTCGTAGCTGAGTTGGTATGATACCGGACCAGAAACCCTATGATCGCTGGTTTGAATCTTGTCTCAGTCGAAACTTTTAGTCATCACCCAGTATCATTTCTTTATTTGTTAAGTTTTGCTTCAGCCTACACTGTTTTTTTGCCTTTTAAAATAAATGGAAGGATTTCACAAGGTATTCTAACCTTTATTCCCTTATTATTTCTCCTTCTACTAACAGCTCAACGATCAGTTACGGATGAAGAGTTGGAGAATATGCTTGAATCTGGGAATCCACAAATTTTCACTCAGGGTGTAAGTACGTTGCTATATGTATATAATAAAGTGTGTGGAATTGTGTATTTCATATTTCGAGAGGGTTGTGGGGATTCAGAAATATTTTCAAGTTAGTATTCATCGTAGACTGACGTCAGTTAGAGGAACAACGGAAGCCTGGGAGCACTGGAGAACGGTTTCGTCCTAGTATGGGACTCCTCAGCAGCGCGCACCCGCGAACTCCAGGTTCCGTGACCAGCGCGTTACCATTGAGTCACTGGGTCCGCGGAATCCAATGTTCCATATTCCTGACTTCTGCTGGCTCACGATATAGCGCAACTGCCACCCAATGTCATCGTTGAGTAACTGTCCTTACGACCATCTGGCTGTGTCGTAAACTGCCAGAAGTTGGAAATATGGGCTATTGGATTCCATGGAGCCAGTGGCTCTATGGTAAGGTGCTGGTCATGGAACCTGAAGGTCGCGGGTTCGATCTCTGGCTGGATGGGGTCGTGAGTAATCACTGCTGAGGAGTTGCATGCTAAAACGAAACAGTTGTCCAGTGCTCACAGGCTTCCATCGTTCCTCCAACTGATGTCAGTCTACGATGAATACTAACTTGGAAATATTTCATATCTCACCTATATACATCATGATCGATTAACGTGACTTGACCATATACTGTGCATGCCGAGCCACTGGCTAACTTCATGAACCATGGTAGAGGAAGCGAGCTTAAGCTGAAAGAAGGCTTAAGGTGGCCAGAACAAGATTTACCACCAGTGCACGAAGTCTCTGACAGGTGATCTGAGACGTGTTGCCAGATATAGACCACCTGACTGGGATCGCCGAGACGATGAGAAATGAGTCATTGGTTGATGACTTTTGGTGAAATAGCTTGAAAGTCTTGACTAACCTTAATTTTTGATTTCCTCTCCTCCTGTTTAACTTTAATGTCAGTGTCTTTCTACCCCCTTGTTCTCTGTATACTACTGTGATATATATAGCAGTTTGAAGGGATTCACTTGTATACGAAGTGCGCTATGTCGATTTTGTCTGTCAAGATCAACATACGACCAGACGTTAGTGCGTAATGGTCGAAGTTGCCATACCTCATATTACTATATCAAGTAACAAGACAGTAAAATGGAAGACTAAGAAAGAAAAAAGAAAAGTCGGTTGGAAGAAATAGAAATAGTAAAAGAGATGAGTGAGGAATGAGATGATGGGATGTAGCATAAGGGTTAAGATGAGGATAATGTATGTGAGGATACATCTGTACCACTGACATCAACTCTGAGCCATATCACCCACAGTCTCTAACCACTGGTTTCTCTTGTCCTGCGGACCCCAACCGGATAATCTGCATCGCCATACATGGCTCAAAGACTTCATTCATTGATCCCATGCTTTAGTCTGACCACCTTGAGCCTTTTCAAGCCTGATCCTATTTCGGCTAACATTGCGTGACAAGACAGACGGTTTCTAGGCATAAGTAACACATATGCCAGCCAATGAACTGAGTCGATGAAGGTTCACAATTGCATTCCTGAACTGTTTGCCTGACTTCTGCGTTACTCACGTGATGATACAGCGAAACATGGCCTTTGTTATGAAGGCGACAATGGTGAAATTCTTGAAGCCTTCTCAGATCTTTTTCTCAGCCGAAGAGTAGAACAGAGTGGACTGCAGCACAGTTCACTCGACTCTTAATAGACAATGGGATATCTTGGTAGCGTCACAGATTAATTGGATGCAGACTGTATTCAAAAGAGCGAGAACACATTGCAGTACAACAACTTCACGGAGAAAAAAAGAAAATTACTTTATGTCTGTTGTAAAGAAGAATGGCTAACCACGAAACTTCATCAGAAGATGCCTATCCCATACAACATCAACTACTAAGCCATCGACAGGAAATCAATAAACGCATCTTCGTACCATGCGTAAAGAAATAGATCAGAAATGAGGACAAGATTACTGAGACCACTTGGTGGGATTGGTGTGGTTCATAAACCAACATTTTCCCTCCAAACATTGTTATGTAGACTAAAAGACGCAACAACCAAAGAAGACAAACCGAATATCATTTACAAAATCGACTAGAATAACTGTAGTCGAGACTACATTAGACAAAGTGGTCGCCTTCACCTTCGTCTACATGAACACCAATTGGCTATTAAACATCACACACGACATTTCATCACTCATTTCAATCCATATGGATAACAGCTGTGGAGATGAATTCAATCTTGACAATGTAGAAACTGGATGGAGAGAAGAAGCACGAAGAATATCAGAGAATTCCTAGGAACTTGGCATTCAGGTCAGTCAGTCAGTCATTAATCAACAGGTGTATAGACATAGACCCAATCTATCAACCAATGAGAGAAATGATTAACGACAGAAAGGTGAGAGGTGAAGCAGACGAACAGTTAAGGAGAAAATCTATACAGTCTGTCAATAATGACACAACAATCAAAGGAAGAACCAATCACAAACTAGTTGGTCAGGGCAAGCTACTGAGTCAGCCATAAAGAGATATTGACAGGTCACTTCATATTGAAGTTAGTGGTGATGATATTGTGTAGGTAGACGATGACAGCGTCTCGACGATTAAACAATTCAACTGAGAGAACACAATACAACCAAGAGCATCCCAAACATTCTCAAATTGCCTGTCGAAGTATCCAGAAGAGTCTGCATCTTTTTGGTGTCTTCACGTAACAGGACTTTATCATCTGCGTATTCTAGGTCAACTGAAAATTGTCCTGTTTTCAGTCAGGTCACTCTGTGTGTAGTCAAATGATGACCTTCCACTGTCAATCACTTGACATGTAGCCCCATCATACAGCGTATAGCTACTGTTGAATGAGGTTGATAAAGGTTTGTGCTGAAGCAGTCTCCAAATTAGTTGTCTCTTGACTTTTAATTATTCGGTCACGGATACAATCCTTTCTAACTTTCAATAGTAAGGTTGAACGTTTAGCCTGCATATTGTAGATATCACTCATGATATAGTGCATGTAGTTACTACTGAGTTGAAACTGTATAGAGTGTAGATGGCTGGTTTTATGTGTAACCAGCATTTGAATCGTCCACTTTCATTGCATATTTATCAAACCGTAGAGTGGAAGGACAAATAGGAACGATTAGGAGTATATGGGGTTGAAATTAAGAAAGATGAGAACAAACAGGAAGAGTAACATAATTGATCGTCATCTTGGTAAGAAAACAAAGTTTACCTAACACTGTAGGTGTAGTATTTTCCCATACATAAAGGTGGTTTCAATTTTTGTATTGTCAACACTACGGAATACCACAGACCTTTATCAATCTCATTTAACAACTATATTAAGACGCCGTATGCCAAGTAATTCACAGTGGGAAGGTCATTGATGTCTTTGAAGTGAAGACAAGAGTAAAACAAGGCCACCTACTATCACCCATCATCGTCCTGATCGTAGTGGACTGGATCATACAACAAAATGTGAGGAGCGAGAAGAAGGGCATACGCTAGCTGGACCGCGGACAAGAACCTAGAAGATTTGGATTTCACCGATGATGACTTGTGTCTAATGTCACACAAACTTGAGGATCTATAGACGAAAACTAACAAGTTTACAGAAGAGGCAAGGCAGGGCAGCCAAGGAAGACGGGACTTCAAGTGAATATAGAGAAGACAGAGGTGATGTTGATATCCAACCAACGCCACCACCACCAACAACAACAAGCTCCAATCAGCATGAACGGGAGAAACTTAAAGGAAGTAGCCTCCTTCACCCACCCTACTGGGCAGCACCGTTTCAACTACAGGCGGCACAGGCATAGACGAGGACGTCAAAACAGCGAGGATCGGGAAGACATCAAGACAGGCTTTCATTAACCTGGAACGAGTGTAGAGATTTTCTGCACTCAGTATGTGGAACAATATCCAGATTTTTAACACCAGCGTCAGTCAAATCAGTGCTTCTGTATGGCTCAGAGACTTGGAGCGTTACGAAAGGGATTTGCAACAAACTACAGACATTCATCAACAACTGCCTACTGCGGCTCGTTACTGAAGATCAGATAGCCAGAATAATAAGAATAAGCTACAAGAAACTCTGGCTAGCTGGCAACGAACCAACCAATATTTCCGCAGCTACTGTCAGTCTATCATGAATAACAACTTGAAGTCAGTAAATAAATCCCTACAAGCCTCGAAATTGAATTAATCCTAATTGATATATGTAAAGCTTGGGCACTGTGTGATAGAATGTAATTCCATATTAGACTTGTTTATTTGATACATATCACACAGTAGTGATACAGTATAAATTATCACTGGTTATTATCATCAGCATCGTTTCAACTACAAGTGGCACAGGCACAGATGACAATGTCACACCAGCCAGGATCAGGAAGACAGCAAGGCAGGCCTTCCTGCATTAATCTGAAATCGGTCAGTGTAGAGATCTACTACACTGTACTGCACTGCACGCAGCATAAAGCGTGAACAATATCTGAATTTTCAACACTAATGTCAGTCAAGTCAGTCTGTGTTTCTATGTGATGGTTGAGAGAGTTGGCGCGTTACGGAATGCATTTCCAACAAACTGCAGACATTTATCACATGAACAGCTGCCACCTATGCTTGAGCACTCGATACTGAAGATGGAGATCAGATGGCGAGGATGATAAGAATAAGCAGGGGGGAATTCCGGCTGGCAACGAACGAAGCAAGAACCTATCACCCAACTAACATGCAGTAGAAGAAAGTGGAGATGCATTACACATACACTGAGAAGACCATTCGGAGACATTACGCGTCAGATCAGGCCAGGTCGTTGAATGGAACCCAGATGGGAAACGGTGAGTTGGGCGTCCTAGGATGACATGGAAGAGATTGTGTGGGGAAGAAATGAAAGGCTATGGGCAGTCGTGGAGTCAGGTTAAGAATACTGCAGAGAAGAGAGTGAAATGGCGATATTCTACTGAAGGCGTTTGTTCCACTAGGAACCCAAGAGACAAATGATCTCATCATTAGTATTTCGTTATATCTAGTTTCTTTTCTGCTATCTTTAAAACTGCATGTGTTTAGCTATTGTTTATTACATCGAGTTGAATATAAACCAAATTGTAATAACAGAAACAACAATAGAGGGCCTTCTATTTCATTAGTTACCATGGTATTATATTGTTTCCATTCTCACTAGTCACTACTGTAACCGTATTTAGTGTGATAGTGTATCATGTTAGTTATTCCCTTTTGTCGCATACTCATCTTATCATTTATAGGTATGCATAAACATACAATATACACGTGGACAAAATCATTATCAAGCTAAAATTGTACATTGAACATTTGTTTTACTAGATCAAGTGTGAAAATTGTTCACATATTCATTGGTTGGTTTGTTGGTTAGATATGTTCCAGAGATAATAACTGAACTCATTTCTCTCAAAAAAAATTAGCATCTAGAATTATCTGTTGTAGACACGGGGTAACAATGAATGAAAATCTAATTTTCTGACTTCCGATCTCGATGACGCAATGTGGATCAGCTTGCGGTTTCTAATGCATGTCCCTAACTATGTGGACCATTAATGCACATGGTATTATGTTCTGCGTCTGACTCTTATCTATTAGCGAGACTGCCGCCCCCGTATCTATTAGACACATGATCTCCCGATCATTTATTCGCATCCTAGTATACACAGCACCTCTTTCTGAAGGTTATCGACTTGTTTTTTCCAGTTATTTCCCTCTGGTAACTCCACTGCAGCTACTGTTGTACCCATTAGCTGTCGGGTAACCTTTGGCAGCTGAATCATATTCATGGGTTGGGTCACGTTGACTAGTCGTAGCTGCTGAGCAATGGCATTTGCGACACTTTCGGTGAACTGTGCAACTAGCAGCTGACAGCTGTCAGATATGACCGTTAAAAGTTGAAGTTGTGAAACAGTGACAGGTCTTTGACCATAGGTTTGTTTGTAGTATTACTTGTGTGTGGTAGAATGAACAGGTTAGACAGAGAAGGTGGCCGATGACTCTATGAACCTTCATCGGCTGAGATGGCTTGGAAATATGCTAGGCTTGCTGATCCACCGCCTACCTCGATGTTCCATGGCAGGGTAACTTGAATTTAGTTGGAAGAGGGCTCAGGGTGGTCAGATCAATCACTGGCATCAGTCGGAAGTGCCTGATTGTTGATTTGAGTCTTGTGGAGACAAGTAGACTGCCTGATTATTGGGGTCCCCCGAGACAAAAGGAATCAGTGGTTAAGGACTCTCGGTGACAGTGGCGCAGGTATATTCACTCTTTAATGTTTTGAATAATCTTCATTTTCAAATCCCTTCTCCTCCCATACATGGTTTTCTACTTTCATATCAATCTTCTTCTATCCACCTGTTCTTTGTATACTTATGTGAAGTGTGTGACAGCTCAAAGAGATCCACTTGTGTTCCAGATATGAGGTCATTGGTGTACCAACTGTATCCGACTAAAAAGATGAATCAAATATGCTTTTAGTTAGTGAAAGGAACACTAAACAACTGTCTGTCATATTAATGATGGATAGTGGTTAGCATTGGGATTCAACTTGACGCATGTTTCGTCTTGTCTGGGACTCATCAGCTGGATGTATCTGCCTCTACAATGAGCAATGTCTTTCTCACTAGAACTCGAACAATATAACCTATCCATCATGTTCCGCGATATTCAGTCATCTAGTTTTGGTAATTTCCTTGCTAATCCTTCCTGTTATATACACCTTTTTGGCGGCAGGTAATTTTCATGCCTAATGTTTAGAAGAGGGGGATACGCTTGACCGCGGAAAGGAACCTAGAAGACTTGGATTTCGCCGATGACTTGTGTCTGATGTCGCACAAACTTGAAGATCTACAGGCAAAAACTAACAAGTTGGTAGAAGAGGCAGCGAAGACAGGACTTCAAGTGATGAAGATACCCGACCAACAACAACAAAAAGCTCCAATCACCATCAACAAGAGAAACTTAAAGGAAGTAGCCTCTCTCATCTATCTAGGCAGCATCATTTCAACTACAGGTGGCACAGTTGAGGACGTCACAGCATCCAGGATCGGAAAGACAGCAAGACAGGCTTTCATTAATCTGAAACCAGTATGGAGATCTTCTACACTCAGCAGATGGGACAAGATCCACATTTTCAACACCAACGTCAAGTCAGTGCTTCTGTATGACTCAGAGACATGGCGCGTTACGAAAAGCACTTCCAACAAACTACAGATATTTATCAACGACTGCCTACTCTAGCTAGTTACTGAAGATCAGATGGCCAGAATGATAAGAATAGGAAAGAAGGAACTCTGGCCGGGTAACGAACCAACAAAGCAAGAATCTATCACCCAACAAATATGCGGTGAAAGGAAGTGGAGATGAATTGGGCATACACTGAGAAGGCCGACTGAGGACATCACGCGTCAGGCTGTCGATTGGAACCGAGATGGGAAGCAACTAGTTGTGCGTCTGAGGTGGGAGTGACATGGAGGAGATGGTGTGAGGAGAAATGAGAGCTTGTGGGGAGTCATGGAGGCAGGTTCAAAAGATTTCAGACAACAGAGCACATTGGAGTCGTGCTACTGAAGCCCTATGTTCCCTAAAGAACCCAAAGGACAAATAATAATAATAATAATAATGTTTCTTTGGTTGACAATGAATTAATTGTTTTATGTTGAATTTATTTCTCGTTATCTAGATTCTAACTGATACACAACAAGCTCGTCAAAATCTAGCCGATATTGAAGCACGTCATGAAGATATTATGAAATTAGAGAAAAGTATTCGTGAATTACACGATCTGTTTGTAGATATGGCTGCATTAGTTGAAACACAAGTACGTTTATTTCAAAGTATATTATTTCCTGTCTTGTAATGATGTTTTCTACTAATTGAATCGTCATTTATAAACAAATAGACGTAGATTAAACTAGAGTTGATCATTTCAAGTTATGATACTTTGGAAGTGTATACAAAAAGTACCTTCAAATGTTTTTGTTTTTGGACAAAAGTCCCCTATTAACCTGCATTCTATTTCAAAATGGATATCACAAAGTGGTAATGAGAAGTTATGACCTATGAAGTCAACCAGTTGAAAGTAGACTGGATGCCAAATGAAGACCTTGGTGAATGTTTTGTTTATATATATATGTATAACGCAAAGTTATTTTCATTTTATTTTTTCCTCTTAGGTTCCTAGTGGAACATACGGCTTCAGTACACTGTACACTCTCTTCTCGGCAATCTTTTCAACCTCCCTCCACGACTCCCCACAAGCTCTCATTTCTTCCTCACACAATCTCCTCCATGTCACCCTCAGCTGGGACGTCCAACTCGTCACTTCCCATCCGGGTTCCACTCGAGCAACTGGCGTGACGCGTGATGTCCCCAGTCGGCCTTCTCAGTGTATGCCCAATTCATCTCCACTTCCTTCCAGTGCATATTTGTTGGGTGATAGGTTCTTGCTTCTTTGGTTCGTTACCAGCTAGCCAGAGTTCCTTGTTACCTATTGTTCCTGGCCATCTGATCTTCAGTATCGATCCAGCGTATACAGCTGTTGATGAATATCTGTAGTTTATTGGAAGTGCTTTTCGTAACGCGCCAAGTTTCTGAACCGTCGCATAGCAGCACTGACTTGACTGAATTGTTTTTGAAAATCTGGATGTTGTTGATGCTTTGTACTGAGTGCAGTAGATCTCCACATTGGTTTCAGGTTAATAAACGCCTGTCTTGCTTTTCCGATCCTGGTTTTGACATCGTAGTCTGTGCCACCATCTGTAGTTGAAAGGATGCTGCCTTAGGTAGGGTAGTGTAGGTGAAAGAGACGACTTCCTTTAGATTTCACCCGTTGATGCTGATTGGTGCTTCATTTTGGTTGCGTATCTTCATGACCTTCATCTTCTCTATATTCACTTGAAGTTCTGTCTTCGCTGCTCAGTCTCTTCTGTAAACTTGTAAGTTTTCGCCTGTGGATTTTCGAGTTTGTGCGACATTAGGCGTACAGTGATACAGTATCATTTACTAGATGACGATGCTTCGAGTATAAATTCTATTTGCTTATAATCATATTAATGAAATCATACACCTAGATTACGACTTCTGCTTTTTATAGTCCTATCACCTGATATTCTTTTTCGTGATTAGTAGTAAAACGTTTTATATCCCTAGTATGAGTTAGCTGGCTGTTGATTCGATGAACAAAGATTCAGAAATCAATCTCTCCCCCCCCCTCTCCAGCTAATTTCATTGGACAGTGGTTTTATCCTACCTATTCTGTTGCTTGGTTGTGTGTTGATGCATGCACTGCAATAATTGAGTTGCCTTCTAGCTAAACTCGTATGTTCCACTATTATAACTGATCTCGATCAGCTACTTTGACTTATGTACTTGACCTCATAGTTATTAAAATAGAGTTTGGTAGTTTAGATTATTTTGCTTGATTGGTTCTGTGGGGATCCCTAAGCTAGCAGAAAAAGCTTATCTCTGAGTGAATTCGTTGGTTTTAATGCCACTTTAGTTTCAGGCTTGTTGAGGATCCTAGGTAAAGTTTTTTATGTAGCTTCCTTATAGGGTAACACAATAGAACTACGGTGGTATTTAAACCTACAAATTTACTGAGAGATACGCTTTTTCGGCTGGCTTAAGGATCCCATAGATCCAATTCCATGTAACGAATGCAAGGTGAAGCACATAGGTGGAACTAGTTGGTCGAGGTCAGTTAGAATAGCTGGACATAGGAATTTAACTAAACAGAATAATGATAAACCCCATAATAAGATCAATAATGCATACATTAGGACACAACCATACCAAGTAGGATGTGTGATATGAAGCCGCCGTACTCAGGTCCAGTATAGTTAGTTGGAGAGAAGGAGAGATTGATTACTGAATCTATGTTCATTGAATCAACACCCGGCCAACACATGTGGAATAAGAATGATGCAGCACCTATATGAGAGATATGGAAAATTTTACCACCAATACAAACAAATAATATGGGTGGGTGGCAGGAGTATAAAAACCAGAGAATTTATGCTCGAAGCGTCGTCATCCAGTAAATAATACTCTGTGATTGTACAGTGTATTTATCAAAAAACAAATCTAATATGGAATTACACTCTGTCTATAGTGATCAAGTTTTACACTTATATTAACCCTGATGAATAGTTTCACTGTATGATGCATCTATAGAAGTTAGAAACTGTTGGATCATTGAACTGGAACTCAATGATTAGATGAATGGTTAACGCATTTGCTGTTAAACTTGAATGTTGTGAATTCAATCCTCGATAGCATAGAATCGTAGATGTATACTACTGAGGAGTCCTATACTGGGACGAAACAGCTTTAGAAATAAAAAAGAGAAGTGGAAAAAAAAACACATTGAAATATGAGAAGAGAATGATTGAATGAAATTTTCAAAGACTGAGAATAGTGAATATATCATTTCAAAAATATCTACAGTGGAAAAGCGTCATCAGATGTTGTATATTGGTCTTTTCGCTGTTGTATTTCGTTAACTATAGGACAATAAATATAACAACCAGATGTCTATAAATATCCATTGGCATTCTCAGGTGTATAGAGATGTAATTCCTCAGCTTCATCATCATCATTATCAACATAGGACCAGGCATTACTGCGTAACGGTCCGAGTTGCCACACCTCATATCAGCACATCAAGTAAAAAGGTAGTGAGGTGAAGGATGAAGATAAGTGAATGCAGTCAAAAGAACTATAAAGTATGAGAAGAAAGGAAAGAGGAGTGACAAAATGGTGAGATTCGGTATAGCGTTGTTAAGATGAGGATAATGTGTGTGGGGATACATTTTGACTTCGGTTCTGAGCCATATCACCTAGGGTCTCCAACCACAGGTTCCTCTTATCCTGTGGACTCCAACCACACAGTCTGCATCGCCCCACATGGCTCAAACCAACAGTCACAGACTTCATACATTGGTGCGATGTTTTAGTCTGGCCACCTCGAGCCTTTTTCCAGCCTGGACCCACCTCAGCCAACATTGTGTGACGAGGCAATCGGTGACTAGGCATACGTAGTACGTGTCCCAACCATCTCAGTCGATGAAGGTTCACAACCTCGTCAACTGACTTACCTCTTCTCCCCAAAACTCTACACCTGACTTCTGCATTACTCACATGGTGACACCACGGAATACGTCGTATACTACGAGGGCAATGGTGGTCAAACACCTGAAGCCTTTTTGTATCCTCCACTTTCAATGGCCATGTTTCACAGGCATACAGTAGAACAGAGCAGACTGGTGTGCAGTACACGCGACCCTTAATAGACTAACGAATATCACGGCGGCGCCATGGGTGGTGCAAATTGGCAAAGGTCAATCGAGCCTTTTGTATCCGTGCAGAAATCTCATTCCTCAGCTTCTGATTTATTGATTGATTTCAGGTTTGTATTTACCATAGAGTGACATCAGTTGAAGAGACATTAGAAATCTAGGGACATTCAGCAGTATTGTACACCTATGACCACCCTGCTCCGCCAAGGATCAAATCTAGAACCTTCAAGATCTTCGAGCAGCATATTACCATTGAGGCATTGCTGATCATCATGGGTTGCCTATGAGTACTCACATTTTCAAACCTAAAAATTTTTTGAATCTCCCTTTCCTTTTCTATGAAAATGTTAACTAAGTGATTATTTTGGAATCTCTAACTATGGCACAAGGGTAGTCAAAGAAATCCTTGATATTCACCTGTTCAATTAAGGAAAAGATAATGATTCTGTAGACATGATTGAGACTTCATGCAAGAGTAGAAACCATCTGATGTCTATTGGTATGTGATCCAAACAATATGATTGCTTTTCATGATTCATCTTGTAAGTGTCTACGAATTTAAGGGTCTAGTGGGTGGTAACGCTTTAGAGTTTGAAGCGAACAGTCCTGGCTTCGAGTCTTCGAGTCTAACATCCCTTTTCTCCTTACATCATATGCATATTCATGCTAGATACCGTTGAATTCGTGTACTTAACTGTACAAGAGTACAGCCTGATGTAATTTCTACTCCTTTTTACCTCCTCCCCCCCTTGAGGAGATACAAGGAGGGAGAGAGAAAAAGAGCTGTGAATGAAGTGGATGCTCAGTGTCAGTTAAAATGACTGTAGCTAACTGACTGCTAGGGTTTAAATGTGTATCAGTTGAGTCAGAGGTACACCACTCACCTTATTGACTGGTGTTTTTTAAAGCCCTACACAATAGAACATAGTCCCTTTCTCCGTAGACCAGGAAAGATCAATGAGGAACAATAGAGAGGAAGAATAAGTAAAATGCACAAATTAATAAGTTGTAAAAGTAGGAAAACTGAGTTATACCACAGAGTCTCAACAAGATATGAGACGATCAATAAAGATTAGAAGTAAATCTCAATCGAAGATAGTTAATACTCGATTTACTTTCTATGGAAATACTATGCTTGTCGATCGTAATATATTTTCTTGGGAATAGCGTCTATACTGAACCTTCTTGGAAAGGTATCCGAGAGCTTTCTTGTGTAATTTCCCATACACTTTGGGTAAAGCACGTACAATACAGCAATTAGGAATCAACAACGGAGCCATTTACTGACTTCATATACATCAGGTTCTTTTACAAATACTAAGTCTAGGGTGTTGTCAAGACGAGTGGAAAAGTTAACCATAGTTTGTTGACCCAATGCTATTGGAAAACTGCAGTCACATGAGTTAAAATCTCCACAGACTATAGAAAAGGAGGTACCCAGAACTGGAGCAGTTGATTCAGTGAATTTATCAGCAAAAGTTGACAAATCTGAGAAACTGCAGTCAGATGTGACGTGCATGTTATATATGTCTTGGTTGTATTGTTTGTGTTCTCAAGAGAACTTTCAAGAAAACTGAAACACCTCATTCAATCATGCGGATATTCCATCAAGTCACCAACGAATTCTTAGAAAAGATCAAAAATATTAACATAGAAAACGATGATTTAATGATATCCTTCGATGTTACATCACTATACACATCCATCGAATCTCAGTTGGCCAAGGAAACTATATCCCTCCTGGTTAATGAAGACAAAAACCTTTCAAAAAGCACAAAACTCAAATATTCAAGTCTGATGGAACTCATCGACCTTTGTATGACAATATACTTCCAATTCAACAGCAAGATATACAAACAGATGAAAGGAACTCCAATAGGATCACCGATATCCGGATTAATAGCAGAAGCAGTGATGCAGAGACTGGAAGCCATTATCCTACTGCGATCAAACCAAAAATTTGCATTCGTTATGTGGACGACACTTTTGTCATCATTAAAAAGGATGATATAGAAAACACCAACAGTTTGGTCAACAACGTTTTCAATGGCATCAAATTCACAATGGAGAAAGAGTCAAACAACCAACTACCATTCCTGGATGTTTTAGTCAGTAGGAGACATACGGGGAAGCTAGAAACCCAAATGTACTAGAAGCCAACACTTACTGATCAAATCCTCAACTAAAGCACCAACACACAAAATCAGTTGTGTGCGGACTCTATTCAAAAGAGCTAGAACACATTGCAGCACGACAACTTCACGGAGAAACAAAGAAACTTACTTGATGCCTATCCTAAAGAAGAACGTCTACCCACGAAACTTTATCAAAAGATGTCTATCCCGAACAACATACACTGCAAAGTCGTCGACAGAAACCAACCAACAAACGCATCATTCTACCGTGCATAAAGAAATTGATCAGAAATCACGACAAGATTACTGAAACTACTTCGTGGAATTGGTGTGGCGCCTCATAAACCAACAAATTCCCTTCAAACACTATTATGCAGACGAAAGGATGCAACAACCAAAGAGGACAAACCAAATATCATTTACAAAATCAACTGCGATAGCTAACAACTATAGTCAACACTACATTGGACAAAGTGGTCGTCCTCCTCGACTTCGTCTACATGGACACCAATTGGCTATTAAACGTCACAATGGAGAAAGAGTCAAACAACCAACTACCATTCCTCATGATTAAACAACCCAGCTAGCTCAGAGAACACAATACAACCAAGACCATCCACCTGAGCTACAAATATTCTCCATCATTTCAATATGTATTTGTATTTACTTAAATGTTTTGGACGACATTTAATGATAATATACTCAATCTTTTTCCTTAGAGAAGCAGAAACATGCATAGTTAGAGGAGGACCACTTTGTAATGATTAGTTGTTGCTACACTCTTATCACCTTTCTTCTTGGAAAAGCTTCGATCTTATCGAAATAATTTGAAACCATTTAAGCAGACTAAATCATTATATGATTAGTCGACATAATTAAACCGTTCACCTTCAATTATCACCTAGTACAAATACTAGTCTGCCAAACTATGGTTATCTCAAGTAGTCAAATGATAATCAATATGATGGATACTCTACTCCCCCCCCTCTCTGATTCAATTAGATTTGGATCGGGATGAGAAGCCCTGATTGGCCAGTAGCCAGTATGAATACGATCAAGCAATAGTAACGCGTCATGAATTCATATGGTAGTCGGGTAAAATAGCATACTTAAATATTCTATTCACATAGACTATTAGAAAAGGAATGTCTCATGAGATATTTTTTTGGACAAGGTTTAGATTTGGTTATAAATCAAGAAATCGGAAAAACAAAGAATTACATAATGTTTGAAATAGTCTAATCAGAATGTTAACGAATGAGAACAAAGACAGATAGACACGCTTCAAGGACACTTGCATTTGATTGGTTGTCGGTCTCATTCTTTCTACTTACGTATACAATATCACGACTGCAGACAGTTTGGATTTTATGATACAGAGTGGACTAGATTTTGTTTGGTGTACATATATGTAGGCAACTAAGTATGAAAATTCATAAGTTGTTCGTTCCATGTAAGTTTTCTATGGATAGACGTTTCAAGTAATCCATTGTCTCATCTTTTTTTTTTAAGCTGTACACTTTTGTACTCAACTATACTAAGAAGCCGTGACCTGTGGGGTCAACCAGTCGGATGTGAAGTGGATGCTAACTGAAGACCTTGAGTGATAGTCGTGCTGTGTTGTGAATTAACAGAAGTTAGAAATTGTGAACCACTGGAAACCGACCGAGTGGCTGAATGCTTAATGGGTTCGCCGTGAAACCTGAAAGTCCTGAGTTCGATCTGTAGCCGGGTCGTGAGTGCGTACTGCTGAGGAGTCCCATACTAGGACGAAACAGCTGTTGTCCAGTGTTTTCTCAGATGTCCAGTTGTTTCTCCAACTGGTGTCAATCTATGATGAATACTACTTCTAATATAATTTAATTTCTTTTATATTGTTCTACAGGGTGAACTTATTGATCGAATCGATGTTAATGTCAAACAAACACAAGATTATGTTGCAGAAGCTCGGCAAGAAACTAAAAAGGCAGTTGTATACAAGAAGAAATCACGAAAAGTAAGTGAATTTCTCTTACATTTCACAGAATCATTTATACTGTTCACTAACAAGCCTAACTAAACATCTATCACCACAAAGATATTGATCAATTTCTGTTGACAAATTGGTTTAGACAATATTGAACTATTCATGTAGAAATTGATTTCCCGAGGGAGGTTGACTAATCCCATCTGATATGCCAACTGGGAACCATAAGGTTGAGTAAATAACAACTAATATCCGTTGTACAAAAGGTGGTTCTTCTGTCTCAGTAGCCAAATGAATAACACTATACCGTTTAAAGCAATGAGAACGCCATCACTTATTCAGACCCCAGGTTTGAGATACATCTGACGAGTCCTAAATCTGTCGAAACTTTCATTATCGCTTCGACTGCTAGCCACTATCAAGCAATTCAAGCATTACGGCCTCAGTAATACGCCTCCTTTTCACTCTTTTGAACCTAGCGCCATAATTACCCACAACCTTTCATTTCTTCCTCGCATGGTCTCCTCCATGTCACCGTTAGCCGGGATGCCCAACTCTTCGTTTCCCCTTTGGATTCCATCCAACGACCTAGCTGGCCTGGCGTGTCATGTGCCCAACCGGTCTTCTCAGTGTTATACCCAATCCATCTCCACGTTCTCTATGTTTGTTGGTTCGTTGCCAGCCAGCCAGAGTTCTTTCTTGCTCATTCTTATTCTCGATGGCCATCTGATTTTCAGTATGGAGTGAGCGTAGATGCAGCTGTTGATGAATGTCTATAGTTTGTTGGAAATGCTATTCATGACTCACCAAGTTTCTGAATGATATAGAAGCACTGATTTGACATTGGTGTTGAAAATCCGTCTCTTGTTCTCTATGATGAGTACAGTAGGTTAGGAATCTCCAAAATACTGTTTTATATCATTGTGTAATACTTGTAACTAAATTGGATTAGAATTGCCTATTGATACATCTAATTTCCCATTGCTATGCAAATGCCTTGATGGCGTAATGGCTAACAGTGGAATCCATGAAGTAAGTTTCGTCCTTTTGAGGATTCACTTGTCAGCTGAATATACTTCCATCTCAATGAGATTGTGTTTCTGTTGAGGGGACTCGAAGTCAGTACCGAACGCTTCGAATATCAAATCGTTGCCTCCTAAGCACCAGAACCACCACTGGTGTATTAGGTAACAGTTGTTGTTGCCATTACTATTATTATGATACTTTAAATTCCTCATTGTTAGTCACGGTGGAATGGCTCGCATTCTGTTTTACAGCTGGGGTTATTCTATAGATAGTTTGATGGCTAGCAGGGGAGTCTAGAGTTCCGCTTTCTTACCGCTTATGATCTCTCAGCAGGATATCATGTTGTTCTTACTAAGGAGACTTGGGTTCATTCAAGCATTATCCACTAAATCCACTGGGTATACAATGACTATCTGTTATTCAATGGGTATCAGTTGTTGGGTTAAAGTTGTTTACACTGACATCATTAGTATACGGTTCCATAGATTGATACACATAAACGCCTAATTGTGTAGTAGTAGTAGTAGTTGTTGTTTTTAACCCATTTACCATCATCATCTTCATCATCAATAGTGTTGTATTTTACTACTGTTTTCTTCTTGTTTTTTGACTTGTTTACAGTGGTTTTAAATTATACTGTGAAGAAGGGTTATTGTTATCGATTTATGTTTGTTCAATGTGTTGTCTTCGATCATGTTGATTGTCTCTTCTTCACTAAATAATATAATGAGAAAAAAAAATTCACCTTCATGTATATATTATAGAAACATTGATGTGAATAGCTGTTATTCCTAGTTGTTCTTTGGCCCAGGTCGATTATTTCCAGATCTGTTTTTCTTATTTGTTTGTGTATAATGTGTCAATGTTCTATTCAAGTGGACGAGAGACACACACACACACATACAGAGAGGTAGTGAAACGTCGAAGTTTTTTCCATTTCACATCTAGTCTCTGCTACACTTCCTTCATCTATGACTTTAATTGACCCTTTATAAACTGGAGAAACACTCAATTTATATGTGTTAAAATTTTTATTGGAGCTCTGGGAACGAATCAATGAAGCAAGAAGCTATCACCCAACAAATGGATTGGGCATACACTGAGAAGGCCGACTGGGGAAATCACTCGTCAGGCCGTCGAGTGGAATTCCCATGAGAAGCGATGAGTTGGGCGTCCCAGATGAGGATGATATGGAGGAGATCGTGCGAGGAGGAAATGAGAGCTTGTGGGCTATCGTGGAGCCAGGTTGAAAAGATTGCCGAGAAGAGAGTGCACTGGAGAGGTGATACTGAAGCAGTCAGTCAAATTATTCATGATTCTGTTATAGTTTACTTGGTGGTGGTGACGGTGACGGGTAACAGTGAAATTCACAAGATACACGTTTCGTCTCAATTGTAATGACTATTCAATAGATGTAGGAAAACTATTTCTATTGAATGACGTATATTTCATAGTTTTATTCCTTGAGGGTAAAAATATGCACTATACAAGTGTATTGCATACAATATTGTAATTCAATATTATATACTGGATGACGATGTTTCCAGCATCAATTATTATCGCTCATTATTATATCAATATGATCACACAGCACTTTCAATATCTCATTTCTATAATCTTGTCACCTAATATTCTTTGGTGTTATTGGTGGTAAAATTCTTCATATCTCTGGTAAAGGTGTTGGGTATTGATTCGATGAACAAAAATCTAGTAGTCAACCTCTACCCACCCACCTACCTACCTACCTACCTACCTACCTACCTACCTACCTACCTACCTACCTACCTACCTACCTACCTACCTACCTACTACTACCTACCTACCTACCTACCTACCTACCTACCTACCTACCTACCTACCTACCTACCTACCTACCTACCTACCTACCCACCTACCCACCTACCTACCTACCTGCACACCTACCTACACACCTACCTACCTCCACGCCTGCTTAATTATAATGAGCTTAAGTACATTGGCTTCATCCCTCCTTATTGTGTGATTATATGTTAACGTAGGTGATGTAATTGCCGATATTTTCTCTATAATACTGACCCTATTAAAGTCTGTCATTCTGTATATGGCTAAATTCCTTCCTATGTTCCGATAATATATCTCCTATCGTAGCGGATATATTTATGAATAGTTGCGAAATCATGTCGTTACCAACGTTTAATCCTGCACCTAAGATATGATAGTGATATACGGATGACATATTTACTATGTTGAAATTGGAACAGATAGACAGTTTCCATTCACATATAAACTCTGTAGTAGGCTCAAACCAATTCACTTACGAAAGGGGTAGAAAATGAACAAGGAGAACTACCCATATTGGATTGCAGGATAAAACGAAGGACAGATGGTGGTTTGGAAACTATCGTCTACAGGAAACCGACATATCCCAACAGGTATCTAGACTTCAAGTCATTTCATCCAATGTCAGTGAAGGCATGTTTAGTCAAATGCCTAAATGATAGAGCTAGAAAACTGTCTAGTCAGTGCAAGGATGCAAACAAGGAACCGAAGCACATACAAGAAACGTTGATGATTAATAATTCTCCTCTACAGCTTATCAAGAAATTTGTACGAACAGGTAAAAAGCAAAATGGTAACAGCAACAGGGATAAAAATAATAACGACAACACGAGTAGAAAGTGGTTCAGAGCCAACAAGGAAGGCACATCAGAAACTTTACGTAGCTGAAATTACGGTGGCATTTAAACCTACAAACTCACTTAGAAATAAACTTAATCGGCTGGCTTAAGGATCCAATTGAATCGATTAAGCAAAATAATCTAATCTATCGAATTCCATATGATGACTGTGAGGTCAAAATACATAGGTAAAACTAGCTGGTCGGGGTCAGTAGAGCAGCGGAATATAGGAGTTTAGGTAAACAGAATGACAAACCCGAATAAGATGAATAATCTAGAAGTAACTCGGCTATTGAAATGAATGCATTAACACACAACCACACACAATAGAGTAGGATAAAAACAACCATGCTTAAGTCCAGCTGTAAACGTCATCTAGTAAATAATAGTGTATCACAGCACTATGCGCTGTAGATCAAATAAGATTTACAATCCTGTAGCTGAAAACTTCTGCTGAAGAACGGAATGAGCATCAGGAATAGAAGTTTCATGTTGAGTTATTATTTATTACCACGCTGACGTCCTCTATGATACACTTTTTGTGTCTTTGAGCATATTCATCATATCAGTTTCGTTCACCAGAAGAGAGTCAGTTCATTGTAACTATGTGTGAAGAATGCCTTAGAACAAGTTAATTATTAATAGTTTATGTTATTGCTTGTACTTTTCCCGTCATTTATTGAACGAAATTGATCGATCACTACTGGGGTATGGGAGCATGCGAATGCTTCAAAATTGCCAGCAGTGGGATGCAGGACACACGTTTTAGCCTATTGAATATCCCCACCTCCCGGTAAGTGATTTCGTTCCGGCTTTCACTGAACTGTTGTGCAATAGACTACTTGGTGGCGATACCTACTCGTTGCAAGCAATAACATTAAAAGTAATATACCGATCGCACAAGGAGTGGCTTCGCCGAAAACCCTCTTGTTTTTGGCGCGACCGTTCCTTGGCCTGATTCTCGATGGGGACAACATCACTCATTGAGAGGAAGCACGTCGAGTTGACAAGTCCCAAATAGGACGAAGTGCACGTCCTAGATTTCAGTGTTATCCAATGTCCATCACTACTATTCATTATTAGATGGATTGATGTTTTCTTATGTTAGTGAAGTGGTTTCTGCGATCAAGAAGCTTTTGTAAAGTCACAATATCCACACCTACATTGTTATCTCGTTCAAATGTGCTAAATTCTCCCAAAAACATGCATATTCTATAAACTATGGTAAGGGAAGAAAAACTGTATTGTAGAAGTGTTAAATAGCGGCAACTGTTGTTATATCAGTACTTTTTTTAATAATTTTTCGTATGCTATGTATTAAAAATTCCTATTTTTGGTAGTAAATAG